ATTTGACTAAAGTCTTACAAACGTTATCAAAACGTTACTTGGCTGAAAACAGTCGCCGCAACAATGCAAACTTTAAGGGTCAAAACACAACTACAATACCCGTGTTAAATACATGACAAGTAAGAATTTCTTGTTGTTTCATTTTTAGCCATCATCAAATATATCTTTCTCTTTCCTTTGCCTGGTAGCTTAGCTTTAACAAGGTGAAACTGTATGATGAATTACAGTCAGATGGGGGCAATGTCTTCATTCGTAATTATCACAAATTGCTTCCTGACACTGGCGGTATATCACTCATATTGTCACAGGGTGAAAGCAGGTTCGGGTAAGAAAATACATCTCATGCTTTCTTAATTTGACCAGAGACCATAATCTATTACTTGGTCTCTGATTTGATGCATCAGTGACCATAATGATGTCGGATGTAATTTTCCTATTTTAGCTTGAACCACATGTTACTGGCTTGGCCAGGTAACAACCAAACCTGCCTTTGCGTGTGTTAGTGACGGGTGACACCGGTAGGGCAGGATATGCTAACCTTTTCGCGAATACCTGGCCATGGTATCATCAGTAATTGATAATGTCATTAACAATAGATTCAGTGACTGTCTGAATGGAGGGAATGGTATGGTATTGTCGTTTTTTATGTATGGAATCTTATGGCAGTCTACATATTAACACGATCAAACAAAATATCTAATCACTGATAACTGAGAGGCAAAAGAAAATAAGCCGAGTTTGTTTTTATGTAATTGAAAACTGAAACAGACCGTTGTTAAATCTGATTGTGTCTATTTAATCATCACTCATTCCTGCAACAGTGATTGCTTACTGGGTACTTTGTGAAAACATATATTAGTTCAATGAAGACTTGGCAAAGAAATGAACTTTCAACCCAATGACCTCATGACCCTTGCCATGTTTAAAATATTGTAAATTTGGGCCGAAAAAAAGGAAATTTATAATTTTCGAAGATATGATAACATACCCATCAGCAGTTGTGTATAATGCGAAAACAAAGTAATTATCAAAAGTTGTTAATCAAATTATTAGAAGACTAGTAATCTTTGCGTCCTGAGTAAGCGCCAGTACAGTGCATTTATTGGATATAATGTAAGATATTTTCAATTAAATATGAAACATATAATAAAATCAACTGTGAGGTATAGTTTCATTTGCTCCTCAGTCTAGATACCGTTAACATCACAATGTCTAACACACTACATACGTTCATCAGAAGTACAGTCGAACTCGTGGGGACATGGAAAACAGTTCGAGTTAACCTTGGTTCGAGACATCAGGGGGACTTTCGACACATCCAACTTCGACACAACGAGGTTCGACTGTATGCTTTGTGAACGGACTGAATTGGAGACGGGCATGTTATTTGTGTTTTCAAAACGTCATGCTTGGTGTTGGAACACCCTTACTTCACGATAGGCTTCAGATTATGTGACTAAATCTATGACACGGCACTTGTCAACATGATGCGCGATACTGTCCCATCTTAGGAGTCTTCATATGGTATTTTCATTCCTCCCAACTCACTTAATCTTTTTAATATCAAAATTGTGTGTGTGGTCGGTGTTACCGACAAAGCAGGATATCCTTACCCTTTTAGTGAATATCTGGTGTCATCCGTTTGTATAATTTCCATCACATGAACCCATGAAATGAACTATCGTCCATCTTCCCGAGGCAAGGGCGTTAACTGACTATACAAGTCCAGTTTTCACTTTTATAGTCAGTTAACTCCATTGCCTCAGGAAGATTGCTATCGTCGCACTGCCTAAACAGTACCTAAACACAAAATCACCATAATCTAAACTCGTTTATATTTAAAACATGTTCAAACGCGTCAAAGTTATGGGACAAGGAACGGGCTTCGGTTTGTGTTCAGGATCTCAACACATCTTTATACATCGTACAAGCCGTCCGGCGCCGATCTGTTGCTCTTTCGAGGAGAAAGAGTTTGTCCGGGCGGACAAGCTCTATATCTCAACTGGACACTCTCTCACCTGACATCGCACACTGGGTCTCAAAGGGTTATTTAATCCTTGCCATAATGCTTTATAAGTTAAAGATTAAGATGCTCATTAATTATCTGACGTTTAAATAATTTGATTAAACAGGCTTCTATTTCTTTCATATTTCATAATGTCTTCGTAATATGTTCATATATCAAATGTACGAGATGTAGTTCAATGTAATAATATATTATCCAGTAAACAAATGAAGATTCTCATTATATAGTTACATATGATTGACATATGCAATTTGACACACACATTTATAAATAATTACGTGCATATTACGAGCACTTTACTATTTAATTATTGTTATCATGGAAATTATTCGCATGATAAATAGCAATGGAAAATAGGTTCGGCTGTTATAATTAAAATTATTTATGACTAAAATGCATGTAAACGAAAATTACTGTAACAATTATCCGTCGAAAGATTATACGGTAGACATTTCGTGCAGTGAGTGAAGGCCGATGTGAGCTTGTTGTTATAATCATTATTTACAGACGGCGAGGCATGTGGGAAGTTGTAATTTCCATCCAATGCATGCATGTACGTCATGCTTTCTTGGCAACTTAGGCGTCTGAGGTGATCGTTATAGGAATATCACATGAAGCGTCCTAAAAATATGTAAGGTACCGCATCTGTTTTCATTCGGTATAGTGTTGAGTGAGTGAGTGAGTGAGTGAGTGAGTGGATGGGTGGGTGTTTGAGTGAGTGGTTGAGTGAGTGGTTGAGTGAGTTAGTGAGTGGTTGAGTGAGTGGTTGAGTGAGTAAGTGAGTGGTTGAGTGAGTGAGTGGTTGAGTGAGTTAGTGAGTGGTTGAGTGAGTGGTTGAGTGGTTGAGTGGTTGAGTGGTTGAGTGAGTGATTGATTGAGTGAGTGAGTGAGTGAGTGAGTGAGTGGATGGGTGGGTGTTTGAGTGAGTGGTTGAGTGAGTGGTTGAGTGAGTTAGTGAGTGGTTGAGTGAGTGGTTGAGTGAGTAAGTGAGTGGTTGAGTGAGTGAGTGGTTGAGTGAGTGAGTGGTTGAGTGGTTGAGTGAGTGAGTGAGTGGTTGAGTGAGTGGTTGAGTGAGTGATTGATTGAGTGAGTGAGTGATTGAGTGAGTGAGTGAGTGAGTGATACTACTCTAATGAACATTTACATAAACCATGCCCCCATCACTTTATTTAGGAATCCTGAGAATTGTAATCATGTCAGATGAACGGGGGGAATCTAAACAAATTGTGGTTTCAAAACGACCACATCGAAAAATGGCGTGGTCGTGAAGGATCTGACCCAATTTATGAGAGATTTGGTAGAGCCCAACGCTGCTGCGCCACTGAGAAACCGCTTCTCTATGTTGTAAACATGTCAATTATTGTCATGAGCTTATGGCACGCGGCCACTCCAACTGTTTCTTGACATAACACGGCCTGGAGGTCAGCCTGACTTGACAATATGATCACGGTCACCTTAATCTTCAGGCAAGTATCAATATAATTATTTTTTTCAATGCACTCAAAATATACCGTGCATTGTAAAGCAGTATATTTTAGAAGTGTGGTATTAATGTTAGAATGAGTATATGGTTATGCCGTTTTCAGCAATATTCCAACATCACATCTCGACACCACCAGAAATGGGCTTCACGCATTGTACCCATGTGGAGAATCGAACACGGGCCTGCACCAGAAATGGGCTTCACACATTGTACCCATGTGGAGAATCGAACACGGGCCTGCACCAGAAATGGGCTTCACACATTGTATCCATGTGGAGAATCGAACACGGGCTTGCACCAGAAATGGGCTTCACGCATTGTACCCATGTGGAGAATCGAACACGGGCCTGCACCAGAAATGGGCTTCACACATTGTATCCATGTGGAGAATCGAACACGGGCCTGACCCGGAAATGGGCTTCACACATTGTATCCATGTGGAGAATCGAACACGGGCCTGCACCAGAAATGGGCTTCACACATTGTACCCATGTGGAGAATCGAACACGGGCCTGCACCAGAAATGGGCTTCACACATTGTACCCATGTGGAGAATCGAACACGGGCCTGACCCGGAAATGGGCTTCACACATTGTATCCATGTGGAGAGTCGAGTTCGGGTGCCTGACAACTCAATGAATCGGGTGGCCATGTTAACTACGTGGATCAGTGCCAATCATTGGATTGTCTGGTCCAGACTCAGTTATTTATAGACCGCTGCCACATACCTGGAATATTGCTGGGTGCGGCGTAAAAGAACAAACGAATCAACAAAGCAATAATGAGTACACTTCTAAAGCGCCAAGTTACTCGCCTGAACGAACCCTCACAGGGCTACATTATTACCATTTAATCAGAGTGTTCTCAAATGTCAGCTTCCCAGGGAGTATACACTATGATAATAAAGCATTGCTCAAAGTAAAACTTTTTATACTGAGAATAATACATACATGTACAAAGTAGCTAACCAATGACACGATGCTCAACTCTTTATTACAGTTATAGAGAAGATTCGGTGAAGATTCTAACAAGGAAAGCTTATGAAGCAAGCGTCAGCCCAGTAGCCCCACACCCGGGTTAGAGTTAATTTCGGTAACCCATGATTGTTGTCGTAATGGACCTACCATTTGATATTTCGGAGGGTGGGGTGAGGCTCGAATATCAAGTGGACGGTCCCTAAGAGATGACTATGCTTGTCGTAAGAGGCGACTAACGGGATCGGATGATCAGACGCGCTGACTTGGTTCATGCATGTCATGCTACTAGTATATAAATAGCAGATCTAGATATATAAATAGAAATAAAAATCTAAATCTGTCATTTTCGTCTCAATGTTATTTCAATCCGTGAAGATCCGGGTTAGAATAGGCCTTTAGCAACCCATGCTTGACGTAAAAGTCGACTATGTGTGTCGCAAGAGGCGACTAACGGGATCGGGTGGTCAGGCTCATCGTATCCAGTTGCGTGGATCAATGCTCATGAAGCAAATAACTGGATTGTCTGGTACAGTCTCGATCAATTACAGAACGCCGTCATATACCTGGAATATTGCTAAGTGCGGCGTTAAACAAAAACAACAAACACTAGCCCCACAGACACAAATAAAATAGATATGTCAAATACAATATATCAGTTATATCACGCCCTGCCAGCTTATTGTCGGTTGAAGTTCACTTCTTTGCCCTCTACCTCTTTACTGGAAACCCCACAATTTTAAAGAGGACGAATAAGGGATTCGAACGACGGTCATAGAATTCTCGGACGCGACTGCCGGCGCCTCTGGCCCCACCATAACCCGCGAAACAACCCCCGCCAAACCTCCTACCAATTATCCAGAAGACGAATGTAGCAGCAAGTGGAATTACTGCCCACAAAAGAACAATGCAAAAGTGTCAACAAACAAACGCCACCACGTCATATTGATATACAAAAGGGGATATAAATAATCTCTCGTTAACAAATTGTAACACATCATTCACAATGAGCAAGTTTGGTCCAGTAACTGAACATCTAAAGGGATCTTCAAAGAAAGGTCAATGCAACAACAGAGCTAGGACATTATTATATATTATTACGAAAGTGCAAAGATCAAATCAATTTTAAAATGTTAGGTTCATTGTCCATGTAACGCCTACAGCTCAGAGCACAGTCTGTACCACATGTCACTTCAGTATCCGCGGAAATGTCTCGATAATGGCAAATGAATTCGGTTTTGGTACTGAAGATGACTGTCATAGTATCACTAAGACGGGAGCCTCTGGAAGAAATGTAGGTGACACCATAGAGTGGAGGGTAAATGTTGCGATTAAGCTCCCCTTTCCCAGTGATTTGAGATTTTATACAAAACACACAGAGACCGTCCACAAAGGATCTACCATGGCGCCTCGTGTAGTTATTCCTCCCCTTTACTAGAGCCAGGTCTCGCTGCAGCCACAGGTGATACCTTATGAATGCGACTGAAACATGAGACATAGGTACATATGATAACAAAATGTGACACTCACTCACCTTAAATGGTGTTAGTATTACAATTCCCACCGACCCCCCCCCCCCCCAAAAAAAAAAACAACCCCAAAAAACTTAATGTAAAACATATCACCCGAATTTTACCCCACATGAACTTTTGAACTGCTCCCCAATCAAGCACACTACTCTTCCCTCGTTCCATATAAATTATGCATAGCAACTACGCATAGTTGTAATCTTCCCTCTCCTGTGGGAAATAATATATGAGGCATGTGTAATAAATATGTATCCTGCTACATGCACCACAGGCAGACTTTCTGGTGTGGCAAATTAGAGTTAAGGGACTATTAATGTTCAGTTTTGCTCAACGCTCTGAACAATATGTCGGTATGATGCAGGTCTAAGACGTTTACCGCTTTCATGCTGACAAACAAGGATTATAATCTGAGCTAATCCAGGACTCGAATTATAGAATCCTGGCACGACTAAGGGAAGGAAAGCTGCACAGAAATGTGTTTACATTTGGCGACTTGGCCATCCATACCCCCGATATTGATAGAGATGAGCTATTTGTATGTTCTGAAACTCAAGAAACCACAATGTATGTTTTCTTGGACAAAGTACAATACATAAGCGATTCTGGGTTTTACCAATGAGGTAACAGGTCTTTGGTCTGCGTGATATTGATCACACAGTATAGAAATCCACAATCAGCTATTTCAGCTATATGACGGCGGTCTGTAAACAATAATGTCTGGACCAGACAATACAGTGATCGATATCATGAGCATCGATCTACGCAATTGGGATCGATGACATGCATCAATCAAGTCAGCGAGCCTGACCACCCGATTCCGTTAGTCGGCTCTTACGACAAGCATAGTCACCATTTATGGCAAGCATGGGTTGTTGAAGACCTATTCTACCCCGAATCTTCACGGGTCTCAGAAACAATGAAAAAGAAACTGACGGCCAAAAGAAACTTTACCATAGTTTGAAATCACTCAAGTTTAAAAACCACAAAAGATGAATGCATGAAGTAAAATGTATGGAAAAATCAGAATCTCAACGAAATCAGTCAGTTAAAATGACAGTCATACATCATCCGATATTGGCACGACAGTTGCCCGAATTGAGATAGGGTAGCAAAAACAAGCTTTCAACCTAATGCACACAGGGCACACACATTCAAAAGGTCAATTACACGTCACATTAATAGCGTGTACGCGTGTACGCAAAAACTCTCCGGCGCACAGAAAACGTCAGTCGTCTGATGGCGTCACGTGAGATTCGTCGCTATTCTTCTTGGAGGCCTGGATCAGTTCTTATCGGTTTAGCTGGAGGATGTGGTCGCTGTCGAACACGACTATCCATGATGTCCCGGAGGTGTCCCTGGGGGACATGTCTGGGGAGCGTGCAGTTCCGGCTGCCCAAGCGGCATGTGTTTTTCAGTTTTTCGCATTTTAAAAAAAACCCTTTGTTTTTCAATTTTTGCAATTTCATTTTTTTGGCCGTCAGTTTATATTAACAATATATTATATAATGGTACCAATACAAATAATGACTCACAATTTTATGACAAGTATTCCGATGATAATCCCCACTATAGACAACACGCCGAATACAAGCCCAACGACAAGAGACTGGTTGGGGACATTTCCGTACTGTCGAGGAAGAGAAAGATGTATGTAAATTTACTATACAACCGACTAATATTGTCGTAGTAGGTTGTTTTCAATGTCACACGAAATCGTTTGATATCAATAGGTGAGGTGAGGTGAAATTGGGTTTAACGTCGCGTCCAAGATTATTGCACTTATATAGCGACGTGCATGCACGTGTATGTGTGTGTGTGGCTGCTTGTACTAGTCCGGACTGATGCCGATTTATAGTGCTAGCTCACTGAGATACCATGCCGCAGTTTAACATGAATACCCCACTCAGACACAGTATACTGACTCCGAGCCGACCAGTCCTTGTTTTAGCCCCTTAATGCCGAGCGCCAGACAGGGTAACAACAAGTACAATCTTTTAACGTCTTTTTGTATGACGCGGCCCGGGATCGAACCCTGGACCTTCCGTTCTCCGGGCGGACGCTCTACCACAAGACCACGGAGGGGGTTTGATATCAATAGATATTATTGATATATGATGATATTCCTCAATAAATGACATCAGTTTTTAGCATATCTGCATAACACTACAAACTGTTCACGAATTTATCAAATACTTACATGTACGATTATAAATTTTATATCATTTTTAATAAGCCCACCCCAGGACATGCTGGTGGTGCTGTGGCCGAGTAGTGAAAGCCTACGTACGCGTTCGCTCGTCAAGCCGACGATCCGTGTTCGAATCCCATTTATTACAATATATAGGCACAGTGCTTGTGGCTGTCGTTGTGATGTCGGTTGAACTCTGCTGGAAAGGACGTAGAGACCATAGTCACTCACCATATAGATCTGTCAATACTTTAGTCATGTAAACATCCACTGTTCATTGGGACTGAACGATGGAAGTTGGTCTTGGATCCAGACAAGCAGATGCCGGATGTCACTTATGTATAAGCACTCACCTCATGTTCTGTTTTCCGCGAAGAAGCTAACGACGCCAGCCCTTTTGATCTCGTTTTGGGGGGAAACTTAAGGGGAGGTTTTACGCCAGTAGAATTGGCCTTGGTTGCCAGATGTTTTAGCTGTTGTTTATGAAGACTTGTGGCATCGGCTACTGTAACCCTGGTTATGGGAACGATGTCAGCTGAGTTTGAAACTGGTAAAATGCGTGTTGTGCCATTCAGTAGACACGCCGCCATCTGAAACTGATCGGATGAGCGCGTGTCAGTTTAAAAGACTATTATCGGTGTTTCCTTAATTGAGATCAATAACCTACTCAAAACAATAGGCACAACCCATGCCGCTTCTCTCAATATCTTTGTATCCACGAAAGAGTTCGCGTTTACTGTTGCCATGGTAACTTTAAGATGTAAATATAGAGATAGGTTTCCTGTAGATTTAACCGAGCTTCACTCTGCATGTCCGGTTGCGAATTCAATAAAGCTCGTTAACCAAGCTCTACATGTACATTGAAAACACAGTATGTTTTAATTTAACATTAGGTACGCGAAAAATCGCAAATAGAACGAAGCATATTTTATTTCACGATAAAACAGTTCTATCATGACGTCATTTCTGGGGCTCGCAACTTGATGACGTCGAAGATTGGACGAAGTTATTTTTTAGAAGGAAGTGGCTAATGCGTAGTTGTTCCCCATAGATGTAGCTGGACAACTCATATAAACGCAATGGCCGAACGACCGCATCCAAACGTGGAAGCGATATGGCAATCGGTATGGGGAGAAAAGGTACAGATAGTCGCCGTGACAATTGTGAGAATATCCGGGAAATACCAAACTTCACTCCCCTGTTCATAAAAAGGACTTGTGCTCATTACCGAGATCGAATTGTATTCATCATTATTTAAATACGGGTTCATATTTTCAAAGTTTGCACATTTTTTAATATCATTGAAGAGGCTGTACATAATGTTAATACCTCATATACGAACTAAACAACTCGTGATCGTTGTACAATAAAATACTGCACACAGTACAATCGTACAATAAAATACTGCCTACAGGTCAGTAGAACCCTTTATTCGTTAATTTGGCAATTTGTTAATCAGGACAATTTCAACCACAGTTCGTATTAACGGGGTTTCGCTGTAAAAGTACACGATACAATACCGTGACTACATACAAGGAGATGTAATGTGACGAGGACGATGTACAGAACAGGCTTAGTCAGTCCCATGGCAGTGCAGCATCTGCAACACGTGTTAACAACAACTCCTTGGTACCTACATTATTTCTATGTTACATACAACATAAACTGCCGGGGAAAACAAAGTACATACACACGTTTGGTGGCTTAAATACAACAAACAAGAAATGTTATTTCGATGCCGATATGGATGTATTTGATACAGATTTAATAGTTTTGTTTTAGACTTTAGGTTCGTAGTGTTTCGGGGACTGCTCTTACGTTTGATAACGTGAGTAATATTTTGTTGTCACTATGTATACTTTCTTTTCCTCGGCAGTTTATGATGCATGGCAAGTTTATGAATACATTATAATGTATATAAGGGACTGTATTTATTGCATGAAATGATTACATGAAAAATATATTTTAGAAAAAGGGTTTTCCATCATAATTTAAACACTAAATGCACTAAGGGCATATAAAGAAATCATTATCATAAGTAACATTACATGGTAATCACTGAATACAATATATATTATGCACACAATGACAAAGGTATGACAAGAACTGTACCACAATCTATCCCAATATTGTTACTCACATACGCACACACAAACCCCTGAAGATCCGTGTTAGAATTGGTCTTCAGCAACTCATGCTTGTCGTAAGAGGCGACTAACTGGACAGGCTGGTCAGGCTCGCTGACTTAGTGGATGCATGTCATCGTATCCCAATTGCGTAGATCGATGTTAATGATATTAAAATCATTGGATTGTCAGGTCCAAACTCGATTATTTACAGACCGCCATCATATAGCTGGAATATTGCTGATTGCGGCGTTAAACAACAAACAAACACAACTTACAATCCCCTCCCCAGCTCCACACAAACCTTGCAATCAATATAACACCCAAGTATATTTTTCTATTTTACAACAATTAAAAGCAAATTAAGTACATACCCTTGGTGCCACTGATAGAACTTTTGCCCGTGAACACAGTCACACAAATGCCTGAAAATATCACAGTTAGTGTTCTCGTTCCCATGGACACGAACTAATATGTTATGAAACATACATGAAGAAGTTTCACCATACACACATAAATCAATAGTTTTCGTTCAACGCCAGCGTCTTCGTTGCTTTATGATTTAAAAGCCTCATGACACCACGACCACAACATCTCATAAAGGGCGACATTTGTTGATAATGTAAAGCTTTAGAACTTTTATATATTAACCCCATAATTCACATATATCATTCACGATGGTGTAGCTTGACAGCCTCGACAAGGTCCATGTAGGCTCTATAGACGAATATCGCACGCCGCTTGTCTCAAGCAATGTATACCTCGGTATATTGTTTGATGACTTCAAGGTTACAAGTTTAACTGAATACGTTCCGTTTAACGCTTAACTATTCATCTGAATGGTAGCATCTCTTAACATTTCGCAATAATTTTAATATTTGTTAACTGCTTAGGAAATAAACAGTGTTAGGATTAAAGGTTAAATTTCGCTCCACAATGAAAAACACGTTAGTTTGAGATTCGCTTTCAGATCTGTATTTCACAAAACAGAACGGCCATGACGAGCAAAACATTGAATCTGTAAAAACTAGCTATTATTGGACATTAACATTTCATGTATGAAGCGAAGCGTCAGCGCAATATATATGTCGAACAATCTTAATTTTCACATTCTTTCTCCTAACTCATCGATCGGTCCTTGTGTTCTTTACCTCGCATTCATTGCAGCATCTTCTCTCGAGTCGCACCCCTTAGGCGAGCCAGAAACTCATGATTGTGGGTTCGAATCTGAGATTCGACCTGAATACCTTTTGCTAATTGTTACACACCTAAGACCTGCATCGACTCTCAATATCTTAAATTCAAAATTCAAAATAGAAAATTGGCACAACGTTCTTCCTCCTCTCCTCTTTCTCTCTGTCTACATTATTTAGGTTCACTCATTTCGTAACCTTTCCTTTGCTTCTATTGTAGCCATATATCTTCCTTCTACAGATGTAATACTTGCCTTCCCTTGCGCCAGGGCGCATGCAAAAGTAATGAACGCTTTTGTTATACCCTTTGAAGTCCCGTAAAGCATTACCAAACGACATATTAGTTTCACTTGACATTTAACAAATAAAGGCTGTCATCGCATTGATTCTAACAAGTTCAAGGCTGAGCAAAAATGTTTAGTACTGTAATTGATTTCTATTGTGGTACAAATTCTTATAAGAGTGGTTCAGTTTCAAAGTTTGTAATATTTTCTCAAAACATTTCACCCCGTCATACTTGAGAAGCTTCCAAATACCTATGGCTTGGCGTTTAAGAGCTATCCAGTGCCAAAAGTTCATTGCTGAAGAATTTTTAAGTGCCCACGTCTTGTCAATGAAGAGCCCTCCGGTGCTTAAATCCTGTCGTTGATGACCTTGTCAGTGCCTTAGGTCTGACGTTGATGAAATCCAATTGCAAGTTGCCTGAGGCTTGTTGAAGAGCTTCCCAGTGCCTAATGCTTGACGTTGAAGAACGTCAAAGTACCTAAGGCTTTCACATTGAAAACCTTCAAATGCCTAAGGCTTGACGTTGACGAACTTCCAAGTACCTAAGGCTTTCACATTGAAGACCTTCCAAGTTCCCAAGGCTTGTTGAAGAACTTCCAAGTGCCTAAGGTTGGACGTTGACGAACGTCCAAGTGCATGAGGCTTGATGTTGAAGACCACCCAAGTGCCAGAAGGTTGTTGTTGAAGAACTTCCAAGTGCCTAAGGCTTGACGTTGATGAACGTCCATTTCCAAAGGCTTGACGTTGAAGAACTTCCTAGTGCCAAAGGCTTGACGTTGAAGAACTTTCAAGTGCCAAAGGTTGGACGTTGACGAACTTCCAAATACCCGAGGCTTGATGTTGAAGACCACCAAAGTGCCAGAAGGTTGTCGTTGAAGAACTTCCAAGTGCCTAAGGCTTGACGTTGAAGAACTTCCAAGTGCCCAAGGCTTGACGTTGAAGAACGTCCAAGTGCCTAAGGCTTGACGTTGAAGAACTTCCAAGTGCCCATGGCTTTGCGTTGAAGAACTTCCAAGTGCCTACGGCTTGACGTTGAAGGGACTAAACTGAGTATTGGGAGGAGGACATTATGTGTCACCTGGCGACCATTTTCTTTCAAATTGAAACATTTAATCTGTTTGTCTGTTTGCTGCAATATTCCATCTGTACGACGGCTGCCTGAAATAATCGACTGTGGATAAGAAATACCGTTGGTGATATTCTGAGCAACGACCCACGAAATCCCCTGAAACATCTCGATTATCCCCTGAAACATATTCCATTAGGCGTAAGAGGCAATTTAATTTTTTTTATATGTATGGACCACTGAAAATCAGTGATGACACAAAGTCATCGAGCCTGACCACTCGATCAATTTGGTTGTCTCGTCCTATGAGCATAAGTTAATCCGATAATCCGCACTGGGCTGGTGAAATAAACAGACATGTTCCCACTTCACAAAAGGTCTACAGGTGTACACAATTTCGTGCATAGTAAAATCCCGGTAGTGCGGACTTTTCTGCTCCCAGTGAGTTCATCGAGATTGGAAAAACACCAGCTGAACGAATAATTTAATATTGACATCTGCCCGTTTGATAAATGAGTGGCAACGAGGTATGAATGCATACACCGTGCCATATGCAGGCTGATGTCGCTTGGTATACTTTTATATTTTATCAGATCTCTGCATACAGATTTAGAGTGACAGTAAAGTATACACATCTGTTCGACATGATTCCAGCAGCTCCAGCATTAGGTGCTTACATATTACAACCTTTGAGGGGCAATCGAGCAGGTTCTTTCCACGAAACTTTCAAAAAGGTTCATACGACTCATGCTCAAAAATTGTTTTATCAAGATCAGGTTACAACATTCAAGGTCTTAATAAGTCAGGTGAACATTTAACTTGCCTTTGCATGTGTTTGTGACGTGTGCCATCGGTTGGGCAGGACACGTTCACCTTTTTGTCAACACCTGGTATCATCCCTAATGGATAGTGATTCATTAGTACATGCTTATGATGTAGTCGGAATCGTACACTGGATTCTAAGCAGAGACTTCTTATGATTATGGAACTTAGTTTATTAATTCCACCCGGTGAACACCCACATGGTGCTGATATACCAAGGCTCATAATCGGGTCGAGTCTGAGATTCGAACCCACGATTAGCGACTACTGTTCCTTTTAGACAAATGTGAAATATTCCATGTACGAAGAACCGAATAATAAACTGACACTTGTCAGCTTCTGTGCCACCCTCGATAATCCAGTGTGAAGATACATAACATGGGCACATTCGCTACCATTCGTTTTCAAGCATAAACATGTCAACCAAAATCCCGTCCAACCAGTTTACACTCATGGGCGAGAGATATCCTGTGACAGATTAAGATCCAGGGTATGTATTCTAACAGAATGGATGTATAATACACTGAATATATAGTCGAGGATGATTCTATATTTGACAGGATTGGTATTTGTAGAACGCGTCAAATGGTAACGTTTAACTTAATTTATTAAAGAAACATAATTTCACGTACAATGCATTTATTCAGTATAATGAAGCACTTATCATGAAGATGTTATTACACATATATCAGTTAATGGTACTTAAAAGGTACAAGTAAAAATCATCAATAAAAGAATCGAGGGTACATAAAACCCCATCTTTCTTGATGTATTATTTTTCTCACTGTAACACAACTGCATGTTCATATTTCAATATAGATTCTAAGATATGTTTTTATTCACACCTCAAACTTTCCCTGAAACGATGTTGCCATTATTACAGCGCAATATGTCTTTTATAAACAGTGTTACCTCTCAGAGATTTATTTTACTTTTTACAACCGTAAAATGTGCCCTTGTGTCTACTGAACTGCTTATATAGAAACGTATTATGTCATTTTTCTGTGGGATTTAAACTTCAATAAAAACATTAAATATTTTTGAGAGTCTGGGGACGCCGTGGGGAACGTTTTTCGGATGTTGAGAGAGACTCGTGGTGTGGGGTGGATTTGATCTTGCACAGAGGGTCGGCCCCGTGGTACTCCAGGACATCGGTCCAGGGAGAGGCAATGGTGTCACAGCAGCTCGGTACATTGATCAAGTCTTGAGACCACACGCCATACATCACACTGCAACAAGAGACTTCCTCCAGCAGAATGGCATCAGAACCATGCAGTGGCCTGCCCTCAGTCCCGATTTAAATCCCATTGAGCACCTGTAGGACGAGATTCAAAGACGACTCAATGACGTCCGACCAAGGCCGACAACTGCAGCTGAACTGCGTGAGTGTAGGCTCAAGTGCCTATGGCCTTCATCAACCGCCTCATCCATTCCATGTATCGACGTTGCATGGCAGTCATCAATGAACTTGGCGGACGCACGAGATACTGACTTGTGATGCCATTTTCTCAGAGACTGGTGTTGTGTTTCCTTTTAAGAACATTTGACACTTTAGTTTCAACGTTGTTGATCAGTTTTGCAAAGCTTCATCTTTTTAATATGTCTCAAAGTATGTTTACAGTGTTTGGACAAATACGGTTTCTCATATAGCTATCCATGGTGACGTTTCTTTTGCGGTTCAGTTTATAATTGTACTTTTTACAGTCAAAAACAGCTAAAAAATCAGTTACACCGTTTGATCATACTCGATTATCCAGTGTATCCTTAGATATATTCGCCATTATAGCATTGTTGGGAAATAGATGCCGCTAAAAATAGCCGTCCAATCAAACAACACTCATGAGCGAGAGAAATTATGCGTGACGCTACTGATAGGAGGAATGCGGACAGTTACGTCACTTTCTAAACGAAGGTATGGCAGCGAATGGGTCCAGGGTTTGAAAAGTGATATGGCAAGTATATCTTCCATCCAACACATCTCCAAACTCGTTCATGTTTTATTCACAATCGGTGTTTCCCCTCAACAATCCTGCCCAAAGAACATGATCTTGGGGGCAACGAAATCACGGCACATTCTCCATCACTCCCCGGCACAAAGACATCGACGTTGTACTGCGTCTGACATTCCTTTCTATGTGAAACAGCTCCAGTTTCTGTTGACCTTTGGGATGAAGGCCATATTTTATAATCCCAGCATCTGAAGGAGATAACGTTTGGATTTTAGGGGATAGTTTTTAATTTGCAGGCATAAAAAACGTGCTTTAGTGTTACCATACACTTGCCACTAAATTATGCATGTGTTGAAATGTCAGGGATTCTGAGTTATGTCTTCCACACGTAAAAAATACCAAACATCATGACAAGTATCCTTACCTCTGCAGGATAATGGTACCCACAATTATACATATAAGCAGCAGTATCCCCATTGATACACCAGCTACAGCTGCGGACGAAATCCGCGGTTCGCTGGAATCAAATCTCGCTTGAACGTGACCCTGGAATGTATAAAATACAACAGTAAGACTATTAACGGAAACCCTACAATGTAAAACTAACAGGTTCGTGATAACTTCTGATCTCTGCCATATCATATTCCAGACTCAACCAATTTCCCTGACAATTAGCAATGATATGTCATCCGAGGGGTTTACCAAATTTCGTCTGGATTCTGGTTTTAAAAGGTACTGTAAAAAGATACTGAAATGAATGCAGTCTTGATATAGTCATACTATGACTCGTCGTTTCTATTGATTCCGTCTGTCTAAACAATGCCACTCGGTAGCCATGATTAAATAATTCGGGATATTGCTCATCCGTGTGTGTGGCTACGTGTGCTAGCCCAGACTTAAGTCTTTTATAGTGTTAGCCCTATGAGATGCCAAGTCACAATTTAAACGTCTTTTGGTATGACGTGGCCAGGGATCGAACCAGCGACTTTCCGCTTCCCCAGGCAGATACTCTATCCACTATCCCCCGTTGTGAAACGTTTAAACAATATGATTTAACAAAACCCACCTTTGTTCCTTGTTTCATATCGACACAATGTGGTTCTTCAGGGTGATGTCCAGTAAGGTGTTTCACATGTTCTATTATTAGCAGCTCTATGTTTTCAGTGATGTTAGGCTGACGTAGTGGTGTAATGAGGACATGTGGATGCCTATATCTGAAATATACCAGAGTGAGTCAGTTGTATTGCACGCCGCTTTTTACAATATACCAGTATACTATTGCACAAGGAAAAGGCTTCACACTTTCTATTGACATAAATAATTTAATCCATGTTTTAGGCGTGACGAAGTAACGCCTTTACTAACTGGACACCTACACCCGAAAATACACCTTACAAAATAATAGCCTTTAATCAATTCGTGCACAACGCTTCATATAAGGTGTTTCAACTTCAGGAAGTCGTGTTGTACAAATGGTATTAGATCAGATGACGTCCCCTAAAGTTAAGTCCTCACTGTTGATCAACGTCACATTCCTAACTAATCAGGATTGGCGGCTTCTTTGGGTATTTGATTATTTTTAATGTGTCCCCTTTCAGATACACGCCGCAGTTTATCATGAATACCCCACTCAGACACAGTATACTAAAGAAATACATAGACAAACGGACTGATGACTACGACCGGCAACCACTGCTACAAGGCGCTTGGATTGCAGGACAAACCCGTGAAGATCCGGATTGGAGTAGGTCTTTAGCTTCCATGATTATCCTAAAAGTCGACTATGTGTCTTATTAACGGGATCGGGTGTTCAGGCTCGCTGACTTGGTTGATGCATGTCATCGTATCCAGTTGCGTGGTTGTTTCATATCGACACAATGTGGTTCTTCAGGGTGATGTCCAGTAAGGTGTTTCACATGTTCTATTATTAGCAGCTCTATGTTTTCAGTGATGTTAGGCTGACGTAGTGGTGTAATGAGGACATGTGGATGCCTATATCTGAAATATACCAGAGTGAGTCAGTTGTATTGCACGCCGCTTTTTACAATATACCAGTATACTATTGCACAAGGAAAAGGCTTCACACTTTCTATTGACATAAATAATTTAATCCATGTTTTAGGCGTGACGAAGTAACGCCTTTACTAACTGGACACCTACACCCGAAAATACACCTTACAAAATAATAGCCTTTAATCAATTCGTGCACAACGCTTCATATAAGGTGTTTCAACTTCAGGAAGTCGTGTTGTACAAATGGTATTAGATCAGATGACGTCCCCTAAAGTTAAGTCCTCACTGTTGATCAACGTCACATTCCTAACTAATCAGGATTGGCGGCTTCTTTGGGTATTTGATTATTTTTAATGTGTCCCCTTTCAGATACACGCCGCAGTTTATCATGAATACCCCACTCAGACACAGTATACTAAAGAAATACATAGACAAACGGACTGATGACTACGACCGGCAACCACTGCTACAAGGCGCTTGGATTGCAGGACAAACCCGTGAAGATCCGGATTGGAGTAGGTCTTTAGCTTCCATGATTATCCTAAAAGTCGACTATGTGTCTTATTAACGGGATCGGGTGTTCAGGCTCGCTGACTTGGTTGATGCATGTCATCGTATCCAGTTGCGTGGATCGATGCTCATGATGTCGAACACTAAATAGTCTGTCATATAACTGGATATTGCTGATGGCGGCGTTAAACAACAAACACACAAACAAAGATGAACGAACATCATGCTTCCTATGATTAATATGGACGTATTTAAACTAACCCTGATATATCCTTTTCAATGATGTCGACGTTGTAGATGTCACTCACGCCTCTTTCTGACAAGAAACGTTTTATGTCGTTTCTAACCACGTCGGGCGATGACGTCTGACCATCTATCCCGAACTGTAAGGCTGGAAAACAATGTCATAGGAAAATGGTAGACCATTAGCAGGCTTTATAAGTCACAACCCCGTTGGAATTCCGGCTCAGAATAGGTCCCCAGCAAAGTCTGCTGGTCGTAAGAGGAGACACATTGGGCGGATACGGTGACTTGGTTGATTGCGTGTCATCGAACCCCGGGATGTTGCTCATACTATCAATCACCTGTCTGACTTGTCTGGGCTCGATTAGTTCCCGGCCGCCGTCATATAGCTGTATGTAGCATATCGTATTTCCCGTTATTTTATGGTGTTTCACAGCCTTATTAAACACGACTGACTATATAAAGAGCAAGCAAATTGTTCGACGAATTGGCTAAGCCAGATCAATACGAGATCAATATACTGAACAGTGAGTTACGTGTACGTCAGTGAAGATTAACGCCTTGTTTGACAAAAGTTCAGTTATGTCACGGCGTGTCCGGTCATGCAAGTCGAAGCGTCGAAGGCGTTATGTTGTGAAACCTTCATCCACGGATTAGATTTGGTCCTGACATATCTAGACCAAGGTCCACCATCGGGGCGAATCTGATTTAGAATTGAATCATGATATAGCGTTGGGGGGGGGGGGGGGGGGGGGGGGGGTGGGGTGGGGGTGGGGGTTAATTGTGACTCACCACTGTGACTCACTCAACGTTTCGTGGTTGTAGTGTTACAGTTAAACTTGTTAACGCTACATTGCAGGAACACAACTTCAGTCTGTAACTTTTCTGATATGATGAAACGATCATAGTTACTCAAATAAAAAGATAAATTGAACAATGATATCTTTTAAACGTTTTCAAAAGCAATGTGCGGATTGTGTATATATCTTGTGAGTGGGTACGTCAAGGAGTTGGATTTAACGCCGCTGTGGACAGTATTTCAGGGCGAACAGGGCATCGTCAATACTTCATTGGTTTTGTAAACACTATATAGCTACTATGCCTTTGATGGAGGTAGACCGCCTCCGTGGACTAGTGGTAGAGCGTCCGCCCGGACTCGATCCCTGGCCGCTTTACCAAAAAAAGTAATAAGGTGATATTTGTTGTTACCCTGCCTGGCGCTCGTAAATAAGGGGACAGGACTGGTCGGCTCGGAGTCAGTCTACTGTGTCCGAGTGGGGTATTCATCTTAAACTGCGACATGGTATCTCCGTGGGCTAGATCTATAAAATCGGCATTAGTCCGGACTTGCACAAACAGCCGCACACACACACGTAACACACACACGCCCGCGCGCGCGCATGCACGTCGCTATTCAAGTGCAATGATATTGGAAATTAAACCCCATTTCACCTCACCTCACCTAGATGGAGGATCGTAGCCAGATAAACCTGTGAATTATTGACGATGCGAACCGGGATTCGAACCCATAATCACAGCAAATTGCGCCACCTCAGACGACTGGGCTACCCGCATCCCCATATATACCTTGTGAAGGTGTACATGTCTTTGAGTATGTCGGAGGCCTCGTTGATGCCGTATATGCTGGTGTAGGTTTGGGATGCACACGAGTCGTTGGTGCGAGCGTTGATGTTTCTTGAGCAATCGTTGCATTCCTCAGGATGTTCCAGCGTTCTGTACAGTACGTTCCTACAGTTTCATATTGAAATATGTATCCAAAAAAAAATCACTTGATAAGAGAAATTATGTCAGGCCGAATTAGCATCGTTAAAATCACAAACTTGTGGTTGGAAGATTGCTGTACATTTCGTATTATTATTACTAGTATGCGCGTACTTGTGAAAACAAAATTATAAAATGTTTCATAGAAAACAGTGAGAACTATCTAAATTTACTTTAAGACTGTAACATACCTGTATAGGCTGAAGTGCATTCACATCGATATGTTGCAATTGGTCCTTTCGTGATGTAACACGTGGCATTGTTTTGACAGCTGTTACCGTCACAGGCGTTCTCTTGCTCGGTGCAATTACTGCCTTTCCACCCTTAAGTGTAAATACAATTGAAACAAAAAAGATAATTAATCATTTTCCATTTTCAAGTTCCACGCATTATTCTAGAGCAAAGTATTGGTTGAAAGCGTGAATGCATGGTGGTGATGTGAGACAAACGTTAACGCTTAAGTCTTGCAATTGTTTCTGCACTCTGTTGTAGATGTTTTAGGTATACAACGATCACGCCGCATTTTCACATCACCAGTTATTCTATGCAGATTCAATAACACTGAAATCACACTTATTGTTTTGTCGAGATCTTCAGCAACCTGATGAAATGAGATCCTTTACACTTACCATACCTAATGCTTGCCATTTGCGCGATAATGGATTTGTTGTCCATAATTAATACTTTTACAAAGCAACTGTCTTACGATAATTTTAAGATTTTTAAATTTAAGTATTCCTTTACATTAAACTGCATTTTTTTGCTTCAGAAAATAATACTAACATACTTTGCACCGATGCGTTGCGTTTGAGTACTTTCCACCGGAATTAAATCCTTGCAGTAAGACATGGTTTTAAATAGGACATTCTTGCAGTAAGACATGGTTTTAAATAGGACAATCTCACCAAACGAGGTGGTGTTAGCAAAGCAAACAGTATATTAAGATATTCCTCTATCAGTAACAATGTTTACCTCATCTGTGATAAGACATCACAAATAAACACTTTAGTGATGACCAAAACCTCATATATTTTTAACATTGGCTTCAGAACATATGAGGATAGGTCTCGTGTGCTTCGTGTGTTTTTTTTTTTGTATTCTATTATCCTGCGTCATAAATAAATCAAATGTCTGAATATACACGCGTATACACTCTGTGTATGTTTATTGTTTAACGCAATAACCACGGAAATATTCCAGCTTAATGACGGCAGCGGTTTGTAAACAATCGAGTCTGGACCAGACAATCCTTTGATTGATAGTGTGAGCAATGCTCCACGCCGTCGGGTACGATGACACGCCATCAACCAATGTCACCAAGTCTCACCACCCGGTCCATTAAGTCGCCACTTGCGACCAGCACATGTTGCTGGAGACCAATTCTAACCCATTACGTACATACCCTTCATACAGAGCTTGTGTCCATCGTCCTCACAGTTGTAATGCCCTGTCTGGTCATCCGAGTCTTTGCAGTATACTTTGCATTGCTTCCCGTAGAAATCCTTGGAGCAGTCAATACCAATGTGAAGTGTCAACCTGATATCAACAAAAATAAGCATCGCAGTCTGACTGAAATGGTTTATAATTACAATTAAATTGACAATTTTATATTTTTCCGAATATTTGGATCACAATGCCATAAATGCCGATACTTTAATATTGTTCTTTGTTTGTTTGTTGTTTCAAACAATATTCAAGCTTAATACAGCGGTCTGTAAATAATCCAGTCTGGACCAGACAATCAAGTGTTTGACATCATGAGCATGGATCTACGCAATTGGGATATGATGACATGAATCAACCAAGTCAGCGAGCCTGACTACCCGATCCAAATAGTCGCCTTTTACGACAGGCAAAGGCGCCTCTTACGGCAAGCATTGGTTGCATCTAACCCAGATCTTCACGGGTTCTTTAATGTGATTGTCCATTTAATTATTATGCATTGAAATGTTAAGCAAAGTGACCTTACTGACCAAAGCCGACGGCACTGAGAACCGACATGCATGTTAAAACAAGTACTGTCACATACTGGGATCATGTCACTTTACACTGTATCGAGGTTTATGGTCCGAGTGATACCCTTACAGTTCTAATATATAACGATGTTGGGTCCACGTGATATTCGTACAGTTCGAACCTATAACGACACTAATTCCAAATCACTTTTGAACAGTTCTATCGTATCACGATATTGTGTTCCACGTGACGTCTATAAAGTCCTACTCTGTCCGGAACTGGATCAACGCGACGTCTTTAAGTTCTTCCCAATCATGATACTATGTTCCACGTGACGTCTTCAAAGTTCTACCCAGTCACGATACTGGTTCTACGTGGCGTCTTTAAAGTTATTCCCAATCATGATACTATGTACATGTTTCACGTGACGTCTTTAAAGTTCCACCCAATCATGATACTAGTTTAATCAGACGTCTGTAAATTTCGACACTACAACGATAGCATATTTTACGTGATGTCCATGCAACCTTGCTCTGTGACGTGATACGTGTTCAACATGAAATATCAAATGAAAAACGCGTCCAAAAAATACTCTATGAAGCTCCAGCCTAGCATGTCTGTAGGTACATGTATTTGTGTGCCAATGACATACTTACACAACATGTTTTCCGGATATTTTATGCGGAGATATCTTCCCAATGCCTTGATACACTATCTGTGTTTTGTTGAGGTGCCAATTAAGGCGTTCCATCAATGAAGGTTTTTTTCCTTCACCTCCGTTGTTAACGGTAAAGATGAAATACAAACCTTCCTTTTGGATAAAAATATGGTATCAGTATCAACAAAACTTGGTATTGGGATATTGTGTCATCGTGAAAATAACAAAATACACTTGTCACACCTTTCTGGATCTATCATTAGAGTGGTAAACATTATATTAGAATTCTGACTCGGCCACATGCCATCTGGCAATACGGTATAAAGTATTTATTTGTAAGGATTGAAATGAATAAAATATCTATAAGAAGCTTTACTGTGAACCACATGTAACTACAGAACTAAACACATTTAGTTAAGGTTAAAGGTATGATTCATGAAATCAAGATTAATTATCTGAAATAAGTCGTGGATAGGCCAAGGTTCAAGGGTCGTATTTTCGTTTCATACCCGTGAAGATCCGGGTTAGAATTGGTTTTCAGCAACCCATATGTTTGTCGTAAGAGTCGACTTACGGGATCGGGTGGTCAGACTCGATGACTTAGTTAGCATGTCATCTTATCCCAAATGAGTCGATCGGTGCTCATGCCAATCACTGGATTGTCTGGTCCAGACTCAATTTATTACAGACCGCCGCCTTGTAGCTTGAATATTGCTGAAAGCGGCGTTAAATAAACCCACAATCAAACAAACTTTCAAGTTACCCATGCATGCAAATGTGAAGACAAAGAGAGCGAGTAACAATCATTAAAACTGTATCTACAAAATTAATACACATACCTCCCATTGGCCCACTGGAAGTACGAGAGGGTTTGGTACAGCTCCCATGTTATTGTCAAAAGTGATTGTCTTCATGCGTCCGAACTGTTTCGTCTCTCCTTTATATATATTACACATTCTGAAAAGAGTGACTGATTAGGGGTTTATCGCCGTTTTTAATGCTATTTAATCAATTCACGAGTTATGTTAAAGTTGGAGGAAGGACCGACTTGAATCATGTTCTTTAACACAAACAAGGACGTTTTTATAATGTCGGAGGTATGGCATGGAGTTGCTTCCCTTGGACACGCCAGGAACCTATAATCGTTGGTTCGAATCCCGGTTTACCCCGAATAAGTTTCTAGGTTTGTCAGCACCATACCCGTGCTTGTAGGTTTCACCAAAGTGGCAAACGTCTGTTTCATGCATCACTTCGGATTTTCCTCCCACATAAGCGGACACGCCGTGGTAGAGCTGCATACTGTTCAAAACGGCATTATCCATCTCACTCGCTCTTTAAGTGTTGTATATATTTACCCTGTTATTGTTTGAGACGAAACACACACTCTTATCGACGGATCACATGGAACTATGCACTTCGAAAAGAACGTAGTACAACATCTTCCATTTGCCATCCTGCGTTCACCGACATGGTCATATCTCACGAACTTAAGTGTCACAGCGATGCTTGCACAACATATCTGAAAATTGCAATGGCTGCATGCCAATGTTTGATACACGAGAAACATATGTGACTTCAACCATCATCCAGTTAAAATAGTTAAACGTGTCATGACATTAATTATTCCTTAAGTAATAAAAAAGGTACATATTTCCACTGAACTAAGTTAAATAAGAATATCTTTGTACGTACTTGTGGCAGTAGAACCAGCACTATATTACCGGCCGTCATTGTGAAGGGCGCCTTCGATCTGGTTATATTTGGTGACAATATTTCAAGCCTCTTTGTGAGATTGTCGCACTCATACTAACGTTCATAGGATAAAAGCGATAAAGAGGTAGTGCTGAATAGGTTAAAAAAGCACTAACATAAGTCATGCAAGGGAAACATGCAAGGTTTCACAGGAACTCACATTCAGTATTGTTCTCATCACAATACACGCACAGATCAAATGACAACGCTGTACGTGCCTATTTGCAATTGGACGGCAGATGCATATTGTAACATATTTATTTCAAGGTGTTGAAATATTGGTGTTATTGTCGATGGTTTTCATCGTGGTTGTTACTTGAAGAAAATGCAATAGTGAAATACTCCCTCGGCCACTAGTAGTTGAGAGGTCAAGTGTGATTTTCCTTTACTTTGTTAGTGAGTGAGAAAAGGAGGTATTTGATTACAAAAGGCGATATTGCAGCAACATGCCCACAGCTTGCGGGCGTAATTGGGCCTGAAAATGAAATAACTAGTGTCTCGCATAAAACATATTAATCTTAAAATCAGCACAAAAGGCACCGTATAAGAAATAAGTGTGAGTTTGGCTTAACGCCGATCAGTATTTCAATTTTATATGGTCTGTCAACTTAATATGGGATAAAGTTATACAACGCAGCCAGACTAAGGACAACTGACAGCCCAAACTATTTTGAATCAATCAAACACCACTGTTTGTCTGGACAGTGTGGCTGTTGTATTCTTGATACTCTCGTTACACATAGACAATGTCTCAGTTGTCATGGATGCCAAAATGTCATATACACCAGACCGTTAAACGTATAGCGTCCTGTTTGAAACCGAGACCCGTCCACCGTAAGTGTTAATCCCTGGTTTCTTCTTCAACCATCTGAAGTTCAACAGAAGAGTTTTCTGGGCACACCTTCCGCGTACGTTTCCGAAACATCAGATGCCTGAAAGAATTTTTTAAAAACCGTTAGAGGTATCATCAGGTAGTCGTTTTAAGACCATGTAAAATAGAAGCTGAACATTACCTCTTGATGTCACATATTGTTACTTATATACACATCACTGTTACTAAGACTATGCCTATGTCCATCAATGTCCAAGGGGTCACCTAGTTTACATGTACCTTACTATCGGTTTCATTTAAGGGAAAAGGGAGGGGTCAACTTTGGATTGTTTGATATACCCTGTCAGAGGATGCCACTATATATATATTATGTCACTCAGCAAAGACAGTGAATCCGACTGTATCTCACCACTGATAGCTAAGCCCAACAGCTGCTGTTGTTGCGACAAGAAATAGGGCGCCCATCACAATACCGATGATAGCCGAGGAATGATCTTCAGCACGTTGTGATATCTTCACCTACGAGAAGACGCAAGGATCACACATTTGCAATGATCTTCTTTGTCATAATACTTCCAAGATGTATCAGAGTCACGTTTTGCCCCTTTATTTGGTGAAGGTACATGTAACAGCCCTCTCTTTTCAATTTGTTCGTTGTTTTATATGGTTTATGTTGTTATTCTCTGAGTTTCGCTGCTATACCAACATGAACACATTTGTCATGGTGACGGTATCCTAGGGGCTAAAGCGCTGGTTGGTAACGCCAAGGACACGGGTCGATACCCTACATGGGCACCCCATTTGGTTGGATGGAGAGGTAGGTTAGTGGTCAAAGCTTTCGCTCGTTACACCGAAGGCCCGTTTTCGAACATATTTTGGTACAAAGTGTGAAGCTAAATCTTGGTATTTTGTGTTGCTGGAATGTGACTAAAAGCAACGTATTCATCGTTAACATGGTCATACTTACTTAACCAAATGGTCATATTGTCATATTCCCAAACACGCCCGATCCTCTTCATAATAATCCAAAGATTGTTTCAATCTATTGTATTATAGAGACAATTTCCTTTCTTTTAAACGACAATAGCTTAAAAGATTATGGTTAACCTGTTTTATCATGGAGGGTGAGCACAGAGGTCGATTTACTGGAATGATGCTGTGTCCAATGGCTTTCTCAATCCACTCTTCAAGGTTTCCTTCTTCAAACACGGCTTCCATCAAAGTAGATACACTTACTTCGCTTGGGACAGTGACAGCAAGACTAAAGGAAGAACCACTGTAATAGAATTACTTTCCGAATATAATCACCACAAACAAAAAACGTTGGGGTATCAAGCGCTGCCTTGTTGAACCCGCCGAGAACTTTAAGAAGAATGTGAAGATTCCCCGACACTGCAGCCTTCTGCCTTACCCAGATTGGAAGAAGGGTTGTATTCCTGGTTGCAAACCCAGGTATTCTCCATTATAAATTATTATTATTATTATTATTATTATTATTAATATTATTATTATTATTAACCAACCAACCAATATTTACAGAATAAAATAAGAAATGAAGCAAAGATGGTTTGGGTGATCATGTCACAGTCAGGCTGGTGAGGTTCATCATCAGCTCAGGGCCCTTGCCCCCTCTACAAGCAGCCAAACCAGCGAATGGCACTTCTCCCAGGAAGCACTGCCTAGTCAAACCCACCCATAACTGTTCGGAGAATGTGAAGACTCCCCAACACTTAAGCCTTCTGCATTACCAAGAATGTCAGAAGGGCTGTGTTACTGGTGGCAAACATGGGTACTCTCCCAATGTCTGTCAACAGATTGGGAGGTACCAAACATCAAGCACCGAGAACAATGGGGAGTCGGACAACTTGGTACTTGGGATGCAAGATAGACATTTCGAAAGCAAGGTTCGCATATTTGCCATGTATTTCCTGAATCTTGTCAAACACATTCGTGTCAAAAGGGACAGAAAATTCAATAATATAAATGAGTAGTAGTAGTAGTAGTAGTGGTAGTATCATACCTTATATTTGCAATGATTATTGTGAAATTGTTCACATTTGATAGTCGTTTCCATGATTCGAGAGCCAAAGTTACGTTCCGCTTGTTGTGAGATAGGGAAACATTATCGGCGATTCGAAACGTCAACAGCAGGGAATTTCCTGCATCAAAGAATCATTTATGACAATGAACAGTCAGAAGAATAAGTTAGTTTGAAGAATAGATTTTCAATCGGATGAGAGTCAAGAAATGTTTAGTTATACATGTATGTATTTGTTGATATGTATACGTCATTGTACATACAAAGACCATAATAATTTCTATAAATGATGTATTTCTTATCCTTTCATTAGGAATCTTGAATGTAGCAAACAATTTCAGTGTCTTTTGATATGAAATATATCAACACGAGTTGATAAAAGTGGGAAAACTCCGAGGCCTGTCGAGGATTTTTTCCACTTTTATCATCGAGTGTTGATATATTTGATATCAAAAGACATGAGGGTGAGATTTTATTTATCATCCAACATCATTCTTCCAACTTTTTCAGTTTGTAGACAGTAATAAGCAGTGTCTTAAGTGTAAAAGGTACTGCTAACAGCTTCAGTAGCAGAGCCATAAGTGATGTCATTTGATTGTGACGTCACGGTAACCAATGACGTCACAATGGTCTGCAAAGCATTGTGATGCAGTTTGATTGCAGCGATATCTACTGTCGCTTGATCTCACCCAAGCTACATCTCCTGTGGGAGCCAGTTTTGGGTGATAAAATGTTTTAAATACAACTTTCCACAGTTTATCAATGGATAATTTGAAAAACTTCACAATCATGTATCATATTAAAGTGTTATTAGACCTTATAAAAGATTCACACCGATGTGTACGTCAATGAAAACATTTTTGTTATGTATATTTTATATTAAAAAAACATATCTTTTGAAATATAAGAGAAATAATCATTTCCATTATCTGATTATTTCATGAGCATGTATTTATCAAATAGTGTTCGTCAAGAGACCAAATGTTCGCTAAAAGGGGAGCATATTCTGCCTGTATGGTGGTCATACGTATAACAATTTGTTGTTAGTCAAGTATTATGGCCATTTGTTAGGAAGATGGTTAGAAAGTACCGGAAGTTACTTGCCCAATGTAAAACATAATTTCTAAAATATATAATTATATATTGTGGGATCTTTTCAATCAGCAGGACCTTTTATTTCACATTTAGAACTTCTGCGTCTATGTTTGATAAATATATCTTATCTGGATTTTCACAAAGTGGCCGATACGTTTTTACCACTTCATTGTATGGACATTGTGTTGTCGTGAACGTGTGCATGAGGAACTTTCCTGCAATAAATTATAATTTATATTACTTATTTGTTTGAATACAGTTGTTTAATTATGACATCTTGTGTTTTCACGCATCCTATGTGTACGTTATTGTTCTGAGGTTGTCATTTTGTGCACTGTCTGATTACATATGATGACTTACGAATGTGTTGTAGGTTCCCGATAGAGATGCATGGTGGGACTGTCAAGTTGGAAACATGGCTGATCTTCTCTGCAAGGTCATCAGTGTCGGTATCGATGTCCTCAGCTGGCACCGACGGTGAATTATTCCACGATGTACCGGTAGTACTCTTTGTATCGATGTCATAAGTTGGAACCGATGGAGAATCATTCGGCGATGTACCGATAGTATTGCTTGTATCGATGTCAGTGCTAACAGTGCTGCTTGTGTTTAGATTTATATTATTGGAATTAAAATGTCTATGTACCTCAGTTGATGGTGAAAATTTGCTAACGTCACTTGTTGATCTTTCTGTGTAGGGTCGTTGAGACTGCGTTACATGGGTATACAGTGATGTAGTCCTCTGTGGTGCCGATGTCGTTAAGATGGCGTGTAACGTCGTTGTCGATGGAGATGTTGCTCGAATTACGTCTATCGGCGGCGTCCTAGGACGAACTACCGTCGTCATTTCATGCTGACAGTTTGTTTTCTCTTCAAAAAAGCGACTGATTTATGATAATAGCCCACATGTAATTTAATTTGTTAAATATATCAATCATGTCGACATAACTGAATTTATTATAGGAACATGAAAATTGTTTCACGGATTAAAAGCAGTACTTTATTGATTATATATTCCGCACGTATGAGTTATTATTAACCATCGGAAAAAGAAAGAAACTCAAAATGCACCTTGAATATGTATCATAGATATGGCATATATTTGGTGCAGTTAAACACATCCATATGTAATGTACACAGATGAGTAAGTGAGTGAGTCTACACAGATGAGTGAGTGAGTGAGTTAAGGAGCGACCTTGCTTTTGCGTCACATTGAGCAGCCATATCAAGGCTTGGAAAAGAAGAATGGGCTTCACACATTATAGTACCCATATTGGAAATCAAACTGCAACGTGACGAGCAAACGTTTTAATCACCAGTCTACGCCTACCGCCCAAGGAGTAGGACCATATTCATAATATGTCTAATAGCTGTGACTTACCGTCTTTGCACGCGACTAAATATCCGTTGTGGTTACACTCGTACATGCCTGGATAGGAGGTCATTTGGAATTCTTGGCAGGTTTTGTCGCAATGTTGACCGTACCATCCACGATCACACTCCACAAAATTAGTTATATGTATCCTATAGTATTAAAATAGGAAGACAGCAGAGACCCAGATATATAAACAGCTTATAGCTGTAAAATACACATTATAAATTCATTACCCATGTAGGTTTTACTTATTTTGTTCACATAAGCATGAACTGTTTTAAGTAATCTGTGCACATGCCATAACACCAAATGTGTCTTTTTTAGCTTGTGTACCTATGTTTCCTTACAGATATCACCTGGAATCACATACATGAACGAATGACGAATGTCATTGCTCATATTTGTCCTTTTTACTCCGACTTAAGGAGCGATCTTTTCTGTAAAATTTCTCAATTTGAACCATTATTTCTATCAATGGAACCTATTTATAAATTAAGTCATGTAATGATTAATGATATTTCTTTCGCAATCCCAAGCCGCCATTCTCTACACAATGTACAAACTCAGAAATAATTCTTCTAAAGTGCTACTCTCCTTTCTATAAAAAAAATAATTATGCAATGTTGTATCTCAAATGACTTTAGTACAATCATTTTATGAATATACATGTATGTACATTATTACTATAATATTTTTAGAACAATCTGAGATTCTAACTCACACAAAGGGAAATCTGATTTGCTAAAGGTCAAACTTCTTTCAGCCTTAATAGTAAGAATTGCATACCGCGTAATTTGCGTTTTGCTGTGTAGAGTTATGTCCCTTAGGTACCAAGGACTATGTAGTGGGGTGGAGTTCAAGGTTTTCACTGATAATATCATCTTCCCAACGCAAGAGAGTTAACTGACTATAAAATTCATGAGTCAACCTTGCCGAACTTGGCTTCAATTTCTGAGATATGTTTTTGCTGGCCTAACGGGTGTATGCATAGTCCAAACAAAAATCGCGTAACGAAATCGACATCCAGTTAAACTCTGACATCACCGCTTTGTTACCTCGTTGCATGACGTCATAGCTCGGTATAGAGTCATGATTGGAATTTCGCTTTAAGAAATTACTCCAGACATACGTAAATTATCCCCGAGGTTTGTCATTTAATTTCAGTTATGCTGAATCAACCACAAAAGAACTGTTTGGGCCGAGACATTCTTATATTTTTAAAAGTACATGTATCAATGATACATGTATGCAAATGTGTTGCCTACATGACTATGACGAAAAGCATGAATTTGGCGTGGTAGTAATTAGTTGAAGGAAAAGCGATCCTCATTTCGTTCACTCGGACAATTAAAGTACCATGTACATTTTAAAAAGTGTGTATATTTAAAAAGTGTGATTGCTATACTCACCGACACGCTCGCCCTTTCAGCCAAGCACCGCTCTTGTACTTGGACGGAGTTACCATGGAAAAGCGTTCAAAACGATGTTCGTACTTCAGCACCTCGATGATATCATCTACTCCATTATCATAGTCTACAACTGTAATCTGTGTAGACACTCCGACCTTTAGCACAACGCAAGACAATATTGTAAATAATGATGTTAATAATAATAATAATAATAATAATAATAATAATAATAATAATAATAATGATAATGATAATAATAATAATAATAATAATAATAATAATTAAACTGAATTATTTGAAATTTATAGTTTTTTACGAACCACCGATTGATTGGGATTGAATCCTATATTTACCATGCTGGGACATACTTAATGTGGTCTATGTCTCCATATTCAAAGAAAACGTGTAAAATCACAGCATGATAGATAAGAATAATTATTTGGACCTTGCGGTTGGTAGATCATTATGTGTCAATAAAGATTTATCTAGGCATACC